ATTTGTAAATTTAAGTTATATAATTAGACAATTTGTTCTAATATTAAAACTACCTAAGTTAAGAAGTTATCTCCTGTACGTAAACATTGGTCATCGGCTATGTCATGCACTTGTAAGATGGAAAGAAATAATATGAGAAGTGGAGTATACTTAAGTATAGTGTCAATAATGGAGTTTAGATCCACTGGAAGTATGTACTAACATGGGTTCTTTTAAAAAGTTTACTTTTATTAAAATTTAACTAAATAAAATAATTAAAATGATACATCTCTTATTGATCTATGGAATTTATTTTTATTTCTTTTGAATTTCGAGTTATCCAGACTCGATTGAATAGTCATCACATAAGTTTCGGGACTTATAGCCTTAACAATAATGAAAATATGTCCTCAATGCTTATATATACCCGAAAATACCTAAGAGCTCTCACTAAAAATATGTAGATTAAAAATGACATTCAATAAGAATAGTTTTTATTTTAAGATACAAAAGGTAAAATATTTTAATTTAGAGTACCTACACGAACATAAAAGTAGATGAACAATTGAGTACCTCAATGCAGTATTTCACATCCATTACAAGTGGTGTTGTACTTAAGTTCAATTATATAAATATCCTTAAAGGAGTCAAAATATTTCGAAAATAGTAACAAGTATGTGAAATGCTATAGTAAATATTTGGTGAAAATGTAAAGTGTCTAAGGTTAAAACTTTTTGAGTTACACAAAAAAAAAATTAAATCAATTTTTAAAAAAATTGATTGTTTATTCACTTTTTTTGTTTTTCCTGGCACTATTGAAAATAAACTAGGCATTTTTAATGTTGAAATCCCAAATGCACCAATTAGATTACTTTTCTATCAGAAAAGATGTTGATATCGAAAACCGAAGCATGTTTACTACCTATACTTATGTATGATATAACTTTGTTTAATATAACATGGCAGATTACACATTCACCCGCATACCTTTCGACATCGGTGATATCATATGGTAATGAACAGAACTTGCTCCTGCTGACATGCCAGTGAGAGTGACGCTGTTGGGGTTACCACCAAACGCAACGATGTTTTGTTGTACCCATTTCAATGCTGCTACTTGGTCTTTCATTCCGTTATTTCCAGGCAAAACACTATCGCCGGTGGAAGCAAATCCTAATACGCCCAAACGGTAATTTATCGATACATAAACGAAATCGTTGGTGTCCAAAAGATAATCAGGACCATATAATATGCCCTCGCCACCAATGAACGCGCCACCATGAATGTACACTATCACATTCATTAATTCCCCCGGCGTATTCTCTCGTGGCAGCTGTTTAATTATTAATGAAATTATACGTATTTGAATGTACATCGCAACGCCATATTCGTGGAATTCATTATTTAGGATATTGATTTGAGAACAATGATTAGTTACAAAATTATTTCAGTGTAAAACTCAAATTATAAATGTTAATGTAATTTTTGATGGGCCTTTGATGGGTTTTAAATGTTTCTAGTCATAAAAAACAGTGTATACACAATTAAATAATAATAAAAATATATTGATCTATTTAC